GTTCTGGGTTTGTTAGACGAGTCTAGTCAGTAGGATACTCATCCATATCGTCGCACCAAATCCGAAGTTGAGCGGGCCATAAGGAGGTTCAACTCACTCCAACCTCCAGACATGATATTCATTATCCTCAGTGGGATGTGCTTCAAGTTGCTGCGAAATCAATACTGAGTGCTTCACATGGGACATGGGTTGCTTTGCTGATTTAGGCTACTACTTACCTAGGACAAGTGCCGTTTGCCGGAGCTCGGAAATTTAATTGAAGCTTAATTCAAGAGACAGACCATATTCCCTGTGCCCATGCCGCTATACACACTCTCCGTGTACTGAAATGGCTTGAGGTTACGTCCAAAACTACAGTAACGACGATGACGACTTTGATGGAGACGACGAGGATAGTAGAGACGATGCTGGAGGTGAGATTAGAGCCTGCCGGAAATGAATTCTATAGCATACCGACCTAGTAAAAATAGGAGATGCCAACTCAAATACACGTCTATGCTTCTGCACCTGGATCCGCTAGACACGCGGACATCGCAGGTAGGAGCAACCTGCTGGCCTCGATGTTATCCTGCCGTACATGAGCACACGCGGTAGGGTTTATCTTTGCCTTCCGTCTCTTGCTCTTCACCCAAGCCCGCAAGACCAAGTGGTCTAGTGGTTAACGACTCGTCCCGTTGACTCAGAACTTGGTAGAAATTCATACTGACGTCCTCTAGAATTTCGTAGGGTAGCGGTTCGACTCCGCTCCTGAGCTTTTTTATTTCGTTCTTATCTTTCGGGTTCGTCTCTTGCGAGATTTTTATACTGCGCTTCCTGAGCTTCTCGTGTGCAAGATATGCGCACACAAGACCTGGCTATGGTCTCGGTGAGCACTGTCGAATGTTCCATCGCCAGCTTCACCTTAATCCCAAACTGGCAACAGGCTCCAGAAGGCCCATTCTGCGACCTACACGTGATAATTAAGCGATGCAATGCAAGTATGTTTTGCATAATTGCGATATCTCAAGAGCATTTTTGCTCCGCTTCCAATTTTTATCGCACCAAAGTGCCCTCCACGTGATGCTGTTTTGATGCGACGCAGGTATGTCGTGCATCATTTTTTTGACCGCTATCTCAATGTACTCATTCTGAGGCCTCACCGACCCTCTCACCGAGGAACATCTCAATCACCCAAGGCGTTTGCTGCTACGAGTCTCAAAAATGAGGCATAATGGGCATATTCGGTCGGAAGAAAAGCAACCGCAAGCCTCCCGTCAGGTACATGCGTCAGACAGCCCCCAACCCCACGGAGCTTTTCTTCTTCCCTACGTAGCACACGGATGCTATGCACTGGCTCCCGAAACCCAGATAAGACCATTACCGCAGTAATATCGGAGGGTTACAGCGGAAAGCTTGACTTTGCTTTATTCCTTCGCGGACCAGCAGAGTCAATACGTATCCCAATTTCCAAGGTAAAAACTCCCGATGTCGTGGTCGGAGACGTTTCGCGGCACCAACGCATCCATACCTCCTCGAATCTGTAGCTGCCGTTGGAGAAAGAACATTTACAGAGACATGTCTCTGGACACCCAGCCACAATATCTGATTTGTGCAAAATGTTTTGGCCAAGAACCTGACGGGCCAAGACCAGCAGCTGCATGTTCGTAGTGACATACATAAGCAGGCTGGGTATATAGATAATCAGATCATGCGTGAGTTTGAATAACGAATGGGAAATCCCCAGCCGTCTTTCTGCATGCCATTTTCTGGATCAGCTTGATTTAGGAAGCACATCCGCTATGTAGGTGCGGGCGAGATTCCGGCAGGCTGGGTGCGATGATTGCCCTGCTCAAAGAAGGTCGAAATGGCCCTTTGACCGATGTCTCAACGCTACATGGCAAGATGCATTCCACTAACCTTACCGAGTAGGACTCAACCAAATCAAGCTTTCGTAGATGGGACTCGTGTCATTCCCAAAGGGATCCTTAGTCTGTAATGATCTAGACCAGAACTCTGGGTGGCTAGTGGTGTCCAATTACGACCCCTGTCGCGCTTGGCACGACGCCACTGGACGGATGAACGCGTTCCAATCTGGGCGCTCTTCAGGCGATCTTTTAGGGGCGTGTCAATCGCAGACCTGCCAATCTAGCGTCCGCCCGGCCCAGAAGCGAGCTGGAAGGTTTGGTGGCAGCAGCACCTCCAGGACCACAGCAATACCTCCACTAGCACTTGAGCAATAGGACAGACTCATCCAGCTTGTTACACCAACGTCAACGCATACGCGGCTGCACTTTTTGGCGTAACGTCTTTTCTTCTTCATGCGATGAGGCATTGATTTGTCTGTCTTACCTCCCCTCCCACCTTCGCTTCCAGCGGCGCAGTCCTTCCTGCGCACAACTTCCCCGAAGTCAGTCGGAATAGCCTCGACGTAGCCCGCTGCGAGGGGCAGGCTACATCATCACCATGCGCCGTCGCCAATGGACGGCCCTTGGCCTCGTCGCCTTCGTTACCATCTGTCTATTCTCATTATTCAGATTGCCGCCAGACCAGCGACCGATATCGACGTCACCCCTCTCCAACAACCCTCCTCCACCCGCGCCAGAAGCTGCGAAGCCACCACCCGTTGACGATGGACCTGGCTACCTGGGCCCCCCTCCTGATAGACGGCCCAAGCCGGCGACAGGCACTGCCTCGCACCCGATGTGGCACCTCATGACGGACGCCGAGAAGGACTTCCAGACGACGCTCAAGAGGCAGTCCAAGACCCTCGAGGATGCCGTCGCCGAGTACAAGAGACGTTACGGCATCCCACCGCCGCCCAACTTCGACAAGTGGTTCGAGTTCGCAAAGGCCAACGGCGTCCAGCTCATTGACGAATTCGACATGATACACGAGATGCTCACGCCCTTCTGGGGCTTGAAGCCGAAAACGATACGGGAGCGTGCGAGAGAAGCACTTGGCTTCGACAACAAGCTACTGGGTCTGCTGATTCGCGACCACAAGATATCGCACATTCAGGGCGGACAGGACTGGCAGCGCGAGGCAACCGCAGGCATGATTGAGAAGTTCATCCAGTGGCTGCCCAGCATGGACCTCGCCTTCAACATCCACGATGAGCCGCGCGTTGTGGTGCCACATGAAGACTTGGCTCGCCTCGTCAAGAGGGCCAAGGATGTGAACATGCCCAAGGCGAACTCATCCCCGAACCCGTCCAACGCCTTCACAAAGCGACATGGAGACCTGAGCGAAGGCAAGATCATCGAGGAGTATAAGCGCACCCGGTTCAACGTCTTCGCCCACCAGCCGACTTGGACTCACTCCCGCATGTCATGCCCGCCCGACAGCCCCTCGCGCGGTCTCGAAGAGGACGAACTGTCAGACGACCTGAGCAAGTACGGCGTCAGTGAGCTCGGCTTCATCTACAACATCACTGCCATGTCGGACATCTGTCTCTCCCCTTCTTTGGGTGAGACGTTCGGCTTTTTCGACCGCCCCAACGCCTACAACATCGTCCACGACCTGTTCCCCATCTTCTCCCAGTCAAAGATCTCCTCCTACAACGACATTTTGTATCCGTCTCCGTGGTACTGGTACAAGAAGGTCGCATACGATGAGTCCAAGGATATGCCATGGGAGCAGAAGGAAGACCGCCTCTACTGGCGCGGCTCAACCACTGGTGGCTTCTCTCGCAACGGCGGTTGGCGCCGGCAGCACCGTCAGCACTTTGTTCAAAAGATCAACGCCGCCGACCAGGCAAAGGTCTACATCAACCGCGGCGACGAGAAGAACCCCAAGTGGGAGGTGAAGCAGGTCCCCCGCGGCGACTACCGCGACATCATCGACGTCTACTTCTCGCACGTCGGCCAATGCGACCCCGGCGACTGCGACGCTCAGAAGGAATTCTTCAAGATTCAGGGCCACGCGGAGCAGCAGGACGCCTGGAAGTACAAGTACCTCCTCGACATGGACGGCAACGCCTTCTCGGGCCGTTTCTACGCCTTCCTGCAGTCCAAATCCCTGACCTTCAAGCTCGCCATCTTCCGCGAGTGGCATTTCGAGTGGCTGCGCCCCTGGGCGCATTACATCCCCATGAGCCTGCAGGGCGACGACTGGCTCGAGGCGGTGCGCTTCTTTGGCGACGGCGCCCTGGGACGCAACGAGGCGGAGCGCATGGCCATCAGCAGCAGCGACTGGGCGAACAAGGTTCTTCGCAAGGAGGACATGGAGGTTTGGTTCTTCCGCCTCTTGTTAGAGTAAGTTTCACCCCTACCCACCCCTTATTCATACCCACGCCATTCCCATCATGCTTACTTACTCATCACAGATACGGCCGCGTCACCGACGACCAAAGAGACACGATTGGATTCTCGGCAGGAGGGGTTCCGCCGCTGCCAGCGTAGAAGTCTGTTTTGGCCTTGCTCTCTTGTCATTTTCAGTAGTGTGTTTTTATCATGGGCAACCCCCCAAAAACGGAGTTCGGTGGTATATGAAACGGGGTATGAAAGTCGTTACTGCAGAAGGCAACGTCCAGTCGTCTGTGTGCCTCTCTAGAGAGGTTTTAACTATACCAGAAAGGCAAAGAGGGAAATTTGCTTGTGATTTTTCATGTAGCTGTCAGTCTCCTTTGTGGAATTTTCCAGTTCCTCCCAAGAAAATTGTATGATGAAACGGCGGGAACGAGGTAGAAAACTCACCCTCATGTGTTATAAACCCACCCAACGGATAGATATTACAAAACCTAATCATGTCATGGCACGGTACTTGGGTTCTCCAGCTGTGAGTTCGCGGATCAAAGCACTGATTGCGATCGTGATGATACGGCTCGACATTTTTCTCATTTCCTATTGTCCGGTCCCTTGTCTACTTGCCGTCTTTTAACTCCGCTTCACCAACTGCGCAGACTTGGCCCTAAAGGAACTGAATGGTATTACAACACGCCCGTCCAGCCGAGCTGTGTCTGATCGCTTAGGTCATGAATCCTCAAATCCAATGGTGTCTCATGCCTTTCATGCTTTTACTCCCTAATCATCGTCCTCTTCATCGCCGTCAGCATCCCTTTCAGGGCTGGGCGATGGAAGGGCAGCTTCCTCGCCATTGCCCTCGGCTCCTTCAGGCTCCTGGACCTCCTCCACGAAGCCAATTGGCTTCTCACGGTATCGCTTCATGTTCTCCGCGGTCGTACCCTTGGGGTCGCAGACGGAAATCTCAACTTCGTTGACGACCTGGGTGTCGTCCTCCACCTGGGTGAGAGTGCGTGCAATGTTCTTGGCACGTTGAGGGCGGATTTGGGTGCGTTGAATGACAGGATAGTAGTAAGCGGCCTTCTGCCGGGTGCTGGTCGGCTCGTCGTTGAAGGCAAGGATGAGCTCCTCGTCGTACTTGGTGTTGTGGTCCAGCTCCGTTTCTTTGGTTGTCTCGTAGGCACGGAGACGCGAGAACTTGAAGCAACCGTCGGTGCCTTCGCTCTTATGTGTGTACAGAGAATCGTCGTCCTTATCGGGATTCTCTGGATCAAACTTGGAGCGGAAGTTCTCAGCTGTGGAAACTGATGCGGGCAAGAAGAAGCTGTAGTCCATGAGGTTCTGGGGCTTGGGGTTGCGGGCGGGGTCGCGCTCGTGAGCCTCGATGGCGGCTTGGAATGCCTCATTCTCTTCACGGCTTCTGTCGAGGGGTCGCAGGAGACCGCTGAGGAGGCGGCGGTCGTACTTGTTGCCGCTCGCGACAGGGTTGGTGAGGAGCTTGACGGTGACGTAGGCGCCAGAGTCGGGGAGCGCGTCATGATCGGGAAGGAGCTGGTGGGATGACATGAGGCGGACGTTAGGCTTGCTCGGGTGGCGATGACGGGTCGGGTTGCTGAGGAAGCGCTCGGCGCTTTCGAAGCTCTTCTCGATCTTGCGTCTGATGGCAGCGGGAGAGTCCTTGTCAGGCTCCGGCGAGCGACGCTTCTCGGGACGCTTGAGCTTGGGGTTTATAAAGGCGCCGGCCGCGCCGGCAGCCCCCTTTCGGGGCATCACGGAGGAGATGTACTCGGTTCTGCGAAGGAAAGAGACCGAGGCTTCGGTGCTGCTCTTGGCTCTGCCTAGTGTGGACAGCGGTCTGAGGAGTGGTCGATCATGGGGATGGACTTGAGGAGGGTGTGAAGGTGCTTGAATTGCTTCGAGTACGTCAGAAGGGCACTCATGGAAGCGATCGTTCGGTTCACTCACAGCTCTCGTCTCCGTCGAAGATGCCTGGCATGCCAACCAGGTCCAGGGGCATACCCAGTTCCGCGTCGACCTCGATGTTCAACGGCTGCTCTCTGGCAAGACGTGATGCGAAGCCGGGCGTCGTATACTGGCCGCTGGCGAGGCCAGTGTTGGGAATGTCGAGCAGCTTCGGTGGATTGGGGGGCGGCGGTAGTGCATTGGAGTATCTGATTCTGGCGATGAAATCCTGATGGATCATGCGCTCGCCGCCGCGAGGCGCAGATGAAGACATTTTGACGGTTGATCGCAGCTCGGCTTGAGTGCGAATTGTGTTCTCGTATCGAATTGAAGTGTTGGGGGTTGAAGGGTGAGCTTGGTTGATTAGCGGAGGAGCAAAGTCGCGGTCGCGTTGACGGTTCGGGAGGAAGGTGCATCTGGCCCGCGGAAAAGTTCCACGAGGCTGAGCTGGGGGCACCTACCTCAATTGCGCCAACGCCCGGACCCAACCCCAACCAAGCCTTATCGACTTATCGGATGGTATCGACTCCCAGGAAGCCAAACAGCTCGCAGTGTAAAATAGGCGACAACTATGCGACAACTATGAAGGGCAATCGACACTTTTTGTGCCTGTCTTATTACAATACGTAGTGTATGAGATGAACGATTCCCAAAGCAAGTCCATCATTCATCAATGGCGCAATGACTCCCGACCGAAGAGGAGCGCTTCCTCATGCGCCCTGCGTAGTTCGCCGTCGCAAGCATGCACTCATACCGACGCCAGTTCTATACGTACAATTTCCCCCGTCGTCACCGTCGTTTCTGTCCAGGCTCATCATGGATGATTTTGCATCCTCGTATCTGCCTTCCCATTCTGTCTATTGCGCGTGCCTAGACTTACACCTGCCAACGCCGCATTCAAGAGCGAGGCACCTGCGTTTGCTCTACCGGTAGCGCCCACTAAACCTCCCCTACGAGTTGTTTTTGGCGGCGTAGTTCTTCTTGCCAAAAGTGAAGGGGACGTAGCGGTACTTGATCATGTGCTGGATCTGCTTGCGCACTAGAGAGGGGTCTGGTCAGCTTTGCGCCAAGGGTATCTTGAGAGGGAGGAGACACGTACTCGTCAGGAAGAACAGGATGAACCAGTACATAACCAGAACGGGCCAGAAGACGGGGACGTTGAAGATCTCCCACCAACTGCAGAAGAAGGCGATGAGGATGGCGCGGGTGGCCCAGTACCAGAACTTGAACTCGGGGAGACGGCGGATGAAGGGCTTGAACTCCTCGTCCTGCTTGGTGGGGAGAATACCAACGCCTCCGTCTTCCATCTCATTGTCAAGCGCCTCGTTGGACGGATCGAACTTGGGCTGGAGGAAGGCTAGGAAGAGGTTGAGGAGGTAGATGCCGAGAGCGTATGCGACAATGTACCAGCCTTGCGCGACGAAGACGCGGGCGAAGAAGACAAGGAGGCAGACGCCGGTACCGACCCATCTGTAGAGCACAAATGGCGTTGACTGATCGAGAAGTGCTTGGTATTGCTGCGCGAAGGTTAGCTACTTGATTGGGGAAACCGCGAGGCTCGGGGCGGGCGTGCGTGCGTACTCTCTGGATCTTGGAGGTATGCGTAGTAACCGAGGAGAAAGGGGTCTGTTCCGGCTCCATGGTGTCCATCTTGGGCAGTTTGTTGTGGGTATGACCAGCTGTGAATCCGAAGAATATGTGTTATTCTTGTTGTCGTGAGGGTTCGCCGATCAGAAGATGCGGTGCAGGTCGAGGAGGATGGTACTACGGGGGAAAAAAGAGCTGGCGCAGTCGCGATCTGTCCGGACGAATTTTTGGGTTGACTGGCGGGATCTCAGGAATAGCAGGTAGGTTCAGCCACGTAAGGCTTGTCCCCTAACTGCAAAGGTGCACCAGTGATTGCGCAAAGCGGGAGGCACCCAACAGCTTGGCCCGAATCTTACCCGGTGGTTTAGCAACTCGCTCCAGTGATTGGGTCCCCTGGAAAATGGCAGGAAAGGCCCAGAACGAGCCCCTGTGGCGCAGTCTTCCTCCAAGCACGACACTTGGAGGAGGAGCTTGGAACATGGGTGGAGCACATCTGAAGAAACGGGTCCTTTGACCAGGATGCTGCTCTCAGCGACGATAGCAACGATGGAGCCTGTGACGCGGGGGGGCCTGTCACAGTGCACAGTCCGTGCTCCCATTGCGACCGACTGTATCCTCGGCCCCGGGGCACGGAGAGCCGATGCTTTCCAGCCTGAGCTCTACCTACCCACCAACCAAAGTACTCGTACCCAGGGAGAGCTTTGGGGGAGCTCGAGCTTGACTTTGACCTCTTACATCACTGTCACCACTTATCTCGGCCCTCACCATTAAATCCGTTCCAATTGAAGCTGCCTTTCTCCGATTACATCTTCCGTCCGACTCTCTTTCTGAGTAATCAGCGTGACCATTGTCTTATCCAGCATAAACGTCCGAACCAGTTGACGGTCTCGTGGTTCATCTGTATATCAAAGCTACGCCCGAAGCTCCATCACCATGAACTCCTTCCGATACCTGCGGCCGATTGCCTCCCGATTGCAGGCCCCGACTCTGCCTAGGCTCACCCGTGGTTATGCCAGCGGTTCGTACGAATACATCCAGGTCTCGAACCCGAAGCCCGGCGTTGGCCAAGGTGAGTGCCCGCTCAGCCAGCTACGTTTCGCCTGTTCGTGATGCTTACACAGGTCCACAACAGTTACATTGAACCGACCCAAGGCACTGAACGCTTTATGCACCCCTCTCATTCAAGAGCTGAATGATGCCCTGAGAGCATTCAACGAAGCAGATGACACTTCCGTCATCATCCTCACGGGCTCGCAGAAGGCCTTCGCTGCCGGTGCCGACATCAAGGAGATGGCGCCTTTGACCTTCTCGGAGGCATACACCAAGTCCTTCATCGAATCCTGGTCGCTACTCACCACTCAAGTCAAGAAGCCCATCATCGCAGCTGTCTCAGGCCACGCGCTCGGTGGAGGCTGTGAGCTGTCCATGATGTGCGACATTCTCTACTGCACCGAGAATGCCAACTTTGGCCAGCCCGAGATCAAACTTGGTACCATTCCCGGTGCTGGAGGCAGTCAGCGACTGACCCGTGCTATTGGAAAGTCCAAGGCTATGGAGCTCATCCTGACCGGCAAGCCGTTTAGCGGTGCTGATGCCGCTCAGTGGGGCCTGGCCGCAAAGGCTTTCCCCTCATATGAGATCTTGATGGAGGAGACGCTCAAGACGGCCGAGACGATCGCCGGCTACTCCCGCGTAGCCATCAACGCGTGCAAGGAGGTCGTGAACAAGAGCCAGGACCTGCCGTTGAGGGATGGCGTTGAGTTTGAGAGAAGGGTGTTCCACAGCTTGTTCGGAAGCAATGACCAAAAGGTCGGCATGAAGGCCTTTGCGGAGAAGAAGAAGGCGGAATGGACGCACTCTTGAGAAGTCGGGCAGGAAATGATCAATGTATGAGAGACGCGTATGAATCTGAGGAAGACAAAATGTCGTGCAACCGTCCTAATTCGGTTCTTGGGGAAATCCGTTCGCTGTACTCGAGCGGGATATGTAATGCGAGCACAGTCAGCGCGTCGCCGAGCGTGCTGGGCCTCGCTCCTCCGGATGGTCTTGTCATCCGCCTCGGACAGGAAGGGCGGCATGTCCTGTTTCTAGGCTTCTCCGTGGAGAAACAACCAAATTATCGTCGACGTTGACTTACATTTTCGAAACAGCCGCAACGGATGCCCATCGCGAAAGATACTTTTCTTATGAGAGCACTCACATGAATAGAAAGGCCCGCCAAAGTATGATGGTTTCGCAACACGAAATCAAGCCTGAAGTTTACCAGTCTCGAGCCCATTGAGTTCGTATTCCCGTAAAGCTGCAGGGGGGTTACCTGTCTGAGAGATCTGGTGAAAGGGCTGCAGTGACCTCAGCTTAGTCTTAGACACGGCGGTAAGCAGGGATAAGGGAGCCGGGGCCAGCAGACGTGGGGTTGGGCTTCTGTAGCTGCCATCCATCACAGGCAGTTTTCCGAGCTTTTTTTTTTTTTTTTTCCTTGGTGGTCCAGTGCTTGCAGCTGCGGGCACGGCGCGCCTAGCCTTTGCCTTTCAAGCCCGCCCCGCCACCGCAGCTCGCCAACGACCGCCAGCCAGTCTTAATACGAACCATGTCCCCTCAGGCGCATCTTGGGCAGTTCCACGTCTTCCCCAAGACATTGCCTTGGTGCCCGGCATTTTTGGGATCTCGTGGTGCTCCATGGATTCCTCAAAGCCTGCCCTCGACCTGGAGAAGGAGCTGACGTGCTCTGTAAGTTGCCCGTCCTTGTCGTCTGATCCAAAGCCCCGTAGCGCCGCCCTAGAGCGGGAGTCTAGAGAGCCTGTGAGAGTGACAGCGGTGGAAAGTGGGAGGGGCACCTTAAATGCTTCTTTTTGCGCTGACCGATTCGTCTCTGCAGATCTGCACCGAGCTCCTCTACCAGCCTTTGACTCTTCTCGACTGCCTGCACACCTATTGCGGCGCATGTTTAAAGGACTGGTTTTCTTTTCAAGCCCAGCAGGCCGAAAACTCGCCAAACCCGCCGGCATCAGGTTCCAACATCTTCACCTGCCCGTCATGCCGTGCGCGAGTGCGCGACACGAGGCACAATGCCACCGTCGCAACCCTCCTCGACATGTTCGTTGCGGCAAACCCCGACCGAAAGAGATCTGAGGCGGATATTGAGGAAATGGTCAAGAAGTACAAGCCGGGGGACAAGGTGCTCCCGCGCATACGCAGTCCAGAAAGAACGCCGGACGAGAGGCGGGCGGAAGAGGAAGAGCGGAGGTTAATAGAGGATGTGCGGGAGTTGAGCCTGCGGGAGGCCGGGGTGGAAACCTCTTTGGCTCCGCGACACAGACGACGCCGGGAGGATAGCAGCTCTGGAGACGGCAGAACGCGCAGAAGTCGAGATCCTAGTCGCGACAGTCGTCAGAGTCACAGGCACGAGGGCAGTCGACGACCCCGCACCGAAGAAGGTCGATCCCATGGAGACCAGCTGCAGCCCGACGCAAGGCCAAGTGAGCAGAGGAGGAGGCGGAGGAGTGAGTCAAGGCAACGTGAGGAGTCATCGGCGGAATCCCGACGTCGCCAAATTGAGCATCAGTCGTCGCTGAGGTCGTTGATCAGCTCCGGAGACTTGAGTGAGCGAGACATCGAGAGGGAGATTGAAGAGTTCGCAAGGCAGATCCAGGAGGAGGGCCTTCTCGATGGTCTCGACCTCGACAACAT